GGTTCTGGCTTCCCCTCCCCGCCCGGCCCGCAGAGCCCGCGCCGCGGCCGCTCGGTGCTCGCAGGGGCTGCCATGGGTCCCGCACGCTGGCTGGCGCTGAGCAGCCTGCTCGCCCTGGGAGCGCTGCTGGAAGGCCGGCTCGTGGGCGAGGGGGACGCCGGCTTTGGCGAATGTGACCAGTTCTTTTACGCCGAGACCCCGCCTGCGGGTTTGGCGGCCGAGGGCCACGTGAAGATCTGTCAGCGCTCCGAGGGCACCCAGCGCTTCGCCACCCTGTACAGCACCCGGGACCGCATCCCCGTGTACTCCGCGTTCCGCGCCCCGCGCCTCGCGCCGGGTGGCACGGAGCAGCGCTGGCTGGTGGAGCCGCAGGTAAGCGAGGTGGTTCACCAGCCCCAGCGCTAGGCTGGCCTCCAGGGGCGCTTTGCAGCCACCGCGAGGGGTAGGGCGGGAAAAGTCTCCCCCACCCTTCCCCGCGCTCGGGGCCAGAGTCAGGAAACCCGGGTTTCGGATTCACCGCACTGCGCCCCCGGAATTACAGCCTACCTCGCCCTTCTCAGCGCCACCGCAGGAGCTCGGCGATCTGCCAGGCTTCGCTTAAGCCGCAGGGGCGGAAGGTCTCCATTGGGAGGTGGCTCTTCCCTGCATTTCGGTGTAGCTATCTGCAGTGTCTCATTCATTTCCTGAATAGTGAGGAGCCTGAGACCATTCAGATCAGCGAGAAGCTTAGCCTGAGAACTCACAGGCCTTGGCACAGGCCATTGCCACAATTTGAGGGGAGTGAGTAGGTGGGTGGGCATTTTCATGCCCATTTTGCAAAAGAGGAGATCAAGGCTCGGGGGCGAAGAGCTTGGGGAAGACCATCCAGTTGGTAAGCTAGGGCAGGTCTTTTGGCTATACATTCATTGCCCTTTCTATCAGGGAAAAGCCGCCTGAGCTTGAAAACCCTTCTGCACATGACATCGAGTAAATTCTGGCTGAAGATGTGTTGTTAGTACAATAAAATAAAGGTATATATTTTTAGAAATACAATGGAAAGGAAAACCTGTTTTTCCTGACTCTTTATATTATCAGACCACTTGGAAATCATGTCACCTCTCAGGGCATTCTATCCTGTCTGGTGAGGGTGACCAAACACTTGGAGAGGCCCCCAGAGGCCCTGCGAAACCTGACTTAACACATCCTGAACCACCTTTGCTCAGCCAGCCTCCCCTTTGGCTATTTCTCACCTCTCACCAGCCTCCCACCTGCCTCCCCACCTGCCCCAACAGCCAAGGCCGTAGATGGGGGAGGAGCTGACCCACTCAGCTGGCCCATCCCTGATGGACACAGCTGCCCAAGATCACGTGGGTGAACGGGAGACCTGCTTTCAGGTGCTTCATTCAGAACCCTGGGTCCTAATTTCTATAATCTCATTCAGATATTTCTAGCTCTGAGAGCGTGGCCGGGACCCATGCAATCTGCACTTCAGTCTTCTTACCTTCTCCATATCCATTCTACCTCCCTTACCTGTTGATGTCAGAACCTATGAAATCAGGCATGTGAAAAAGCCTTTATAAATGTGTATGCTTAAGACATTAATCTAAAATTAGTTTGCTCCAACTGCACCCTCGAGCTCTCCGCTTATTCCCCAGCTCATTATGCATTGCGATTGTGGGCCTGTGAGAAAAACAGATGATCTGGTCCTTTCTCCTTGAGGATCTCTTGCACGCCTTGAGGAAGCAGAACATACAAGTGTGGAAGACATGGGAACGCATGCTAAACAAATTTCAGTTAAATTCAGAACACGTTTAGTAATCACTTGCTGTGTGCTACTTAGGGTACCAGGAGAACAGAGTGTAGCTCTTGAATGCAAAGGCTTCTTGGTCTGCAGGTGAAGCATCTGATTAAAGCCATGCCGTGTGGGTTCAAGTCTTAGTTCCTCCATTGACCAGCTATAAGCTTGGAGGTAATAACAGGGTGGTTCTGAGGCTTGAATGAGTTACTATGTACAAAGTTCTCTGAGAGGTGCCAGGCACCTAAGTACTAGCTGTTATGACATAAGCAAAATGCCATAATCTAATAAAGGTAACAAAATCCTGTTAGATTTAATCTGTCTCGGAGGTGATAGGAGAAAGCCTTAAGGGTCATGACATTTGTGCTGTACTGAAAAGGATGAGGCAAAGTTCAGAAGGGAGACGAGGAGGAGGACATTCCAAGCAGAGGGAGTGGTCGAGTAATGAAGAATGGGATTAAGGAGAAAAAAGGTTGGAGAAGAAGAGAAAAATAGTTCTAAGTGATAGCTCTTGAGGTGAGATGTGCGGTGGTTTGGTAAAGTCCAGAGTCAGAGTTCCCACTTCGAGAGATCGGAATGGTCACAGTGGCTGATGCTTTTCCCTCCAAGATGGGCTTGTGTCCCTCTGTCCCCTTTCCTTCCCACTCCAACCTCGGGTGAAGTCAACCAGGAACCAGAAGGTATTAGGAGGGAGGCAAGGAAGGAGTGAGGGAGAAGTTGCAAGATGAGGTGCAGGCAGGCTCTGGAGCACACTGCAGCAAACCTGACCGCCCTGCCTCCTGCTCCCTGAGGCCTGCCTCACGGCCAAGGTCACCACTGCAGAAAGATGCCCAGACCTCAGTGTGGACTCCTGGCTGCTTCAAAGTACTTTGTAATACTGAGTCGCCTTGTGTCCACATTACCTTTTTATGAGTCAGTGTTACCTAGAAGCTGAGACAGGGAAAGAAGAGGCCAGAGACCAAAGGCGCTTTGGGCTTACCTTCATTAATGAGTTGGGGCTCCCAAACCCCCGTTCTGCAGCTTTCATGGCTGTCCTGTAGTTTCTCTCTGAAAAAACTTCTAAATTGAAGATGATAGAAACTGAGTCATTCTTGTGCTTAAAACCTTTAAGGTGTTGGCTTCCCCATACCTACAGGACAAAGTTCATCCTGCAGAATGCTGTTTACAAGGCTCCTGTCTCCAGCCCCAGCCTTGTTTCTTGCTCCTTCCCACCCTCACATGTTATGGTCTAGCATTATCCAGCTGCTTGGAATGCTTCTCATAAACTGTACTGTTTGTTACGTCTATTTCTTTGCTCATTCCGATTCTTTTTGCCCTGAATACCCTTTCTACACTGCCTTTCTCATCTTGCCTCTTGCTTCTTCTTCCCCAACTCCATGCTTTAAAACTGCCAAGATGTCACATCTTCTAGAAAGAATTGCCCACCTAAGTTAGGTCCACCTCTCAGTGCTCCTATAATTTCTCTATTTTTGTACTTACCACAGTGTTTTATAATTACCTGCTCATGTGTCTGTCTCCCTAATGTCAGCCTTTGAGAGCTGAGGACGGTGTCTTAACCCCTCCTTGTTTTCTGAGGGCCTAGGACGTAGAAAGCACTGAATAGTGTTGAATAACGTATTTTGACTTTAGGGTGTATCAGGCCGCAGGGGGTGAGATGTTCAGCTTTAGTTTTCTTGGTGGGGAGCTTACTGCTTCAGAAGCTTGTCCCGTAGCTGGCCAACAGCCACTGTTACAAACATATTCCACATGCAGAGCTGGAACCTTCCTCAAATCATCAATCCTAGATGATTTGAATCTCTTCTCTGGATGACACCTCTTTAGTGTCAGACACAGGACCCCAGGTCTGCCCACACTGGAGGAATTTAAATGGTATATTCTGAGGAATAGAATTAGAACTTTGAAAGGAAGCAGGGAAAACAGAGGGCTGTTATTGGTTTTATGTGGAATGTGGTCACCTTTAAATTGAGACTAGGGAGAGGGTAAAAAAGATGAGAAAATGTGTCCTCATATACATAATGAATGGAGATGGTGTGAAGGTTTACACTCAAGACTCCAGAGACCTGAGAACTGGGTTCTGGCTTAGTACAGGGAGCCTCAAACTGTTGAGTTTCTCAACTCCTTTCCATTTAGTGGAAAGATTTGTGGTTAAGGTACCAGTGATACCTTTCCAAAGTATATTGTCAATTCACGCTAGAAGCCAACATATATGACCCTATCATTTTATAAACACGAATTTTATAAACTGGAAGGATGTGGCTTTATATTCAGCTTACACTTGATATTTAACCTTACAAAAATACTGTGAGGTAGATATCATTTTCTTCATTGTAGAAATGAGGAAACTAGCTCAGAGAGGTTAATTGATATGCCCAAAGTCACACAACTTGGATTTGAACTCATAACTATTTGCTGCTAGTCCAGTGCTCTTTTGATAAAGCATGGAGATTCTTTGACCTCACAGCGGACCCACTGCTTTAATGGTTGTAGGATCAAGATTTCCATGTAAAAGATGAGAATTAAATTCCTACAACAGTAGGAATTCTCAGAAGTTGTAGGACAAGCGAGAGCACATATTTGGCTACAATGTTGCTCAGGTGTCAGTGGCTCTGCAGTGACTGGTTAACTGCAAAAGCATTTTCCGAAAGGGCCCAGGGAGGTCATATTTCAAATCTTAGTAAGTGCATGTGAACAGTTGTTACGAGTTAGAACCTTAAATTCTTGATCTTTAATTTCAATTAGCAACTTATTATTTACACATTCCGAAACGCAGACACATTTATTTATTCTATGTCTAATTTATTCTAATATCAGTTGACTTTGTTATTGTGTCAGAGAACAGATATGTAGAAGACATCATACACTTAAATCTCTGTATAAGGGATGCAGCAAACAGGGCAATTCTGATTCTTACTTCCTAGTTAAGAGACTGAGGTTAGATCCCTGCTCTGCCATTTACAAGACATGTGACTTTAATTATTCCAGTCCTATGTTTCTTATCTGTTCATTAAAGGCAATAACAAGTGTTTAACGTCACAGAGTGGTTACGACAAACAAAGAAAATGTGCATAAACATTCTAGGATAGTACCTGGAATACAGTAATGTCTTCTTAGTGAATATTAACATGTATACTTTATTAAGGTCTTACTCTAATAGGTGTTAGATGTACACAAATACACACACATTCACACACATGAATAGAATTTTAGATTAGATATGTGACTTCTACATTCTATAAATCTCTCCTAAAAAGTAAAATATCTATCTGTGTATCTTATCAAATGTTAGGCATATACCCCACATTCATATAATAAATAGGTCCTCGGAAAGTACATGGTGAGAGAGTGACTGAATGGAAGATCGAATGGATGGTTGGGTAGATGGATTTAGGTGACTGAAACAAACAAAACAAAACAGATGCCAGAGATACTTCCAGCCTCTCTGTCCTGATCAACTAAGAGGTATGTCGTCACAAACATACAGTGAGCAATTGTATTCCCGCCTGTTATGCTGAGCCTGTGTAAGGCTAAGAAGTACCTGACACAAGGGGATGGCTCCAGAGTCAATCTCTCACAATTTCTTCCTTAGTGGAGTCCAGAT